GCAATTCTTAAAATGGGGGCAGCCCAAGGGGAAAAAAATGTAACTTTGAAACAGGACTTCAGATCAGCACCAAATTTAGCACAGAGGTAGCAGACAGTCTGCTCTTGTGCCAAATTTGGGGAAGTTTGAGTAAAAGTGTTTTGAGTTATGATTTTAGAAATAAAAGCTGTTGTAAACCCCCCCCCATGCAAAAACAAGCAAGTTTAAACATCCCCAGATTTAAAACAGATTGCATAAACTGAAAAAGACCAATTTGGTTTTCTTGAAAGAGAATGGTCAAATCATGGAATTATAGAATAGTGAAGTTGGCAGGGGCCTATAAGGCCATTGTCCAACCCCCTGCTCAATGCCGGAATACAAATCAAAGGATATCTGCCAGGTGGTTGTCTAAGTTTCTTGAATGCCTCCAGCATTGGGCAAGGTAACTGGTTCCACTGTTGTACTGCTCTAGCAGTTAGGAAGTGTCACATACAGCACTGATGGTACCTGTCTGTCATGGGTTTGGAGGGAAAGTTCCATCCTATGGGGAGTGGAAGGCGGGACGTCAGGGGGGAGGAGCTGTACTGTATATATATTTGGAGCTTGTGTGGAGAAGGAGTGGGAGTCTGTGTGTCAGACTGAGTACAACTGTTGGTCAGTCGGTACATACCTGATAGGTTCAGGTTTCTATTTAGGTAGCCAGACCTGATAGGTTCAGGGTCTGTGCGTTACCTTGAAGGGTTCAGTGGGAACCAAGCTGTTGTATGTGTGTGATTGGGGTTATGCCACGTTACATTATCCTATTTACCTGATCTTTTTATTTACCCTGTTTGTTATTTCAATAAACCTTGTTCTTTTGTTTGTTAAAATCCATTCCTGGTCTGTGTGACTCCTTACAGGGAATGGTTGGTGGCAGCATAACTACATGGTGGCATACTCCAGTAGGTCTGGGGTTGTCACAGGAAGTTTTTCTTGATTTTCAACCAAAATCTGGCTGCCTGTCACTTGAGCCCATTGTTGAGTGTCCTGCACTCTGGGATGATTGAGAACAGATCCTGCCCCTCCTCAGTAGGACTACCTTTCAAGAATTTGAAAAGGGTTAGCATATCACCCTACCCTTTTTTTTTAATTTGGAAGGAATCCATACTGCAGGGGCTGAAATATTAATCCTCCAAAAAGGTATTTCAAGAGTTAAACAGCGACTTTCTTATAAACTAAGCATTTGTGGAACAGGCTTACCAGCTAGAATCTTCCAAAGTAGATACAATGTTGCAGCCTCATAGCTAGGAAGGGAGATGTTTGGAGGGCAATGAAAGGTCACAGAAACAGTCAAGAGAGGTTTTCTTTGACAATTTTTTTTAAAAAAAACCACAGGCTTGCTTTGAAGAAAGCAATGCAATCATAGTCCTCCAGAAAGGGCCATTTTGCTAGGTATCTCCAGGGGATTAGCACACAACATTTCTCAAACCAGGCTACTGTACAGATACCAGTCTTCAAAGGGAAAGTCAGCTCCAGATCTGGGCAATCTGAACTTTTGATCTCATCACCCAATTAGCTGACTCTCAGGAGGAGGACTTTTTAACTCCTTCCTGGCCAAACACAGATTGGTGCTTGCAAAGGGATTCTATATCTGGTTGTAAAAATATTTTAAACAATATTTTAAAACGAGAACAAATATTGTAAAGTTCACTTGCTTAAGGTGTAAAATTACTGGTTTTTGCTTTGTGGGTCGGAACGGTTTTACTTGATGTTAGCAAGCTTTGTCCTGTTATATTTCAATCATTTCACCTGCCTTGTCATTATTCAATTGTCTGGTAATTTTAAAAAAACACCTCAAAAGGTATGCCATCAAGTCACTTCTGATGTGTGGTAACTGTATGATTTAATGACCTCCAAAATGTCCTATCATTAACAGCTCTGCTCAGATCTTGCAAACCAACAGCATCTCATGTTAGCTTCTTCTCTCTTCCTTTCCAGTAAGTTCTGCTCAGGTCTTGTAAACAAACAGTCTTGGCTTCTTTTAGTTAGACCACCTGCCTCATATTAGGTCTCTCTTCCTACTGCCCCTCCCTCCCACTTTCCCCAGCAATATTGCCTTTTCCGGTCAGTTCTGTATTCTCATTATATAGCTTCAGTTTTCTCATTTTTGCTCTAGTGGGAATTCAGCCTTGACTTGACTGAACATGGTTTTTTCTGCCTTTCTGGCTGGATGTGGTATGGGCAAGTTTCCCCTCCGACACCACATTGCAAATGGGTTTATTTTTGTTACTGTCTTTCTTCACTGTCTTTCATGTAGTATGGATTATTTTGACCTTGCTTTCCAACCTCTATTTCGAAAGGTGAGGGGATGAACATCTTTTGGAAAACATGCACACATGTTCATAGAGCTTTTGGTCTGATATAGCTTTTCTTCCTCAGGTTGCTTACCCCAAGGAAGGGGTTGGAAATCGGAACAAGGTTTCACGTCTGCATTCTGCAATTAAAGGGTTGGTATGTTTCTCCATTCTTTGTGTTGACTTACTCAAACCTTTGCTTTGCCATTTCATGGAGTCCAGAACAGCCTTTCAAAATATTTTGGCACTGTTGCTTACCCCAAGGAAGGGGTTGGAAATTGGAACAAGGTTTCACGTCTGGATTCTGCAATTAAAGGGTTTGCATGTTTCTCCATTCTTTGTGTTGCACTTACTCAAACCTTTGCTTCGCCATTTCATGGAGTCCAGAGCAGCCCTTCAAAATATTTTGGCACCGAGGGACTATAGGCACATGTAAGCAGTTCTCACTTCTGCCCTCTACAAGAAACACAGATCATCTTCTGGGACATTTATGTTGGAATTTGTGTATCGTGTATGTATATGAATGTTTTTAAAAGCCAGGAATTTCAATTCTTTTTTTTTAAGAACCACCTCTAAAATTTGTGTATCGTGTATGTATATGAATGTCTTTAAAAGCCAGGAATTCCAATTCTTTTTTTTTTAAGAACCACCTCTAATTTCTGGATGTGGAATATTGCGCTTCTGTATCTATGATTCCAAATGCCAGGAAATTGCCCGCTAATGATGCAAAATATCATGCCTGCATTGCCAGCAGGAAAAAGGATGTCGAGCTTTTTACACAGCAACGGGCAGCCTGAATGTTGATAAAAACCAATGGCAGCAGTCCAGATGGTCTACAAGGCGTCCTCTTACACTACCTTTCACATCTGCTGAAAAATAGTCCTGACCATTACTTTGTGTTTGGGTGAGAAGTGGTGAATTGATTAGGAAAAGAGTCAGCTTCTGAGATTTTTTCCCCCTTGGTGGGTGTGACATATTAAAAAGGAGTCAGCTTCTGAGATTTTTCCCCCTTGGTGGGTGTCACATATCTCTACAAAATTTTAAGTTATTCATTGAACAACATTTTGGAGATTAAATGAGGATGTGTTACACAGCCGTAAGGAGATTCAGGTCTATGGTCTGAAATGGCCATGATGTCTTGTCTCTTTCAAGGACCAGGAACTCTCTCCCGCAGGAGGCCGGCCTGGCCCCTTCTTTGCTGTCCTTCCACACACACACACACACATTTAATGGACGATTGAGCCTTACAGCTTCGAAAGTGTTTTTGTTGTTGTTTTTGTTTGCTGTCTTTTTAGTATGCCTTTTTTATGGCACAAATCGACTTCACCAGCAGAATTGGAGTGTGAAGTTCTTCCTGGTCCTATCACGGCATCTTCTTTCACACTGGGATTAAAGGTTCGGAGGCTGGATTTTCTGTCCAAAGCACAGGAGCTCCGGCAGGAAAATGGAAACGGACCCTCCTGGCTGCATCCACCTGCCCCGTGCCCCCAAGTGTTTTCTGTGCCATCGCCCTGTACACCATGTCCTGTCTTGCCATGTCAGGATCCTCTGAACTGTGCAGGTAAAGGACACACAGCAAGAATGCAGCCGCCGGTGACAAAAGGAAGAAGGGGAGACAAAGGGAATGAAATGTGGCCGAGGGAAGAGAAGGAGAAGGAAAAGGCAGCATACACAATGAAACAGAGAAGGCTGTTAGAGAACAGGAGCCCCATGTCAGGAACAACCTTTATGCTTCTGGACAGCCACATTTCTCATGTTTTTCCACCTGAATCACAGAAGAGTCCGTGTTCAATCAAAGCAAATGTCTCCCAAAGAGTGGAAGCAATTCGAAGAAACGATTCAAGCAACACCAATCAAATAAAAGGTAGACCTCCCGTGTTTATGCTATGCGCTTGCCTTCACAGGATGACTATAAAGTGCTACCTTGCAGTGGCTGAAATCCTGTTACTTAGTGTTGTAAGTCACAACTAGAGTAGGCCCACTGAAATCAGTAGAATTCACGGAAAAGATGACTCACCAAAATCCCCACTGATTCAATGGGCTTGCTCCACATGCAACTTGCTCCACAAAGCAACAGGATTTTAGCCACTGGGTCCTGAGAGAGAGGTACCATGAACCCTATTTGTTTACAGTGAGAAGTATGAACACGGCCCGTTCCATTTGCAAAAAGGACAAAAGAGATTTTTTTTTCATTCAGAAAAGAAGTCCAAAAGGATTGTGTATGTAGAGATGGGCACGAAACGCCAGTTAAGTGGTTCGTCCTGGTTTGTTTAGCAGCCCAACAGGTGTTCTAGTGGTTCGGCGCCCCACCCTCTCCGGAGGGCACCCACTCAGAGGCAGTGTCCGAGGACGCCACGGAACCCCTGCTGGGCCATTAAACAAACCAGGACGAACCACCAAACTGGTGTTTCGTGCCCATCTCTAGTTGTGCGGGCACGAAACGCCAGTTAAGTGGTTCGTCCTGGTTTGTTTAGCAGCCCAACAGGTGTTCTAGTGGTTCGGCGCCCCACCCTCTCCGGAGGGCACCCACTCAGAGGCAGTGTCCGAGGACGCCACGGAACCCCTGCTGGGCCATTAAACAAACCAGGACGAACCACCAAACTGGTGTTTCATGCCCATCTCTAGTTGTGCACACTGCTTCCTTTCTCAAAGACACCGTGTTCTTCCGAACAAACAACAGGAAGCAGCTTTTCAGTGCCTTGACCTCCAGAGACTCTTTATTTCCAAGGAAGATGAAAATGAGACAATAAAAAGGCCCAGTTTAAGTTATGGCTGTTCTTTTTTGTTCCCAACTGCCCCCACCCCCACCCGTCACAAGCCACTTTCCCCAGCCCTCAAAAATCATATATATCTCTCTCTAGCCAGCCAAGTCCCAACAAAGGCTCAGTTTGGCTTCTTCTGGGCTCTCAGGTGAAGTGGCGGCCCAGACGGGCTGATCTGTAGTCAAGGCGGAGCTGTACAAAGGCATGGAGCGTGTTCTTGTCCAGGATGGCCAGCTGCTCTCCTGAGCAGACCTGCTTCAAGTTATCCGGAGCAACAACGAGGAGGTTGCAGAGGGAATGGAGCGTGTCAAACAGCTGCAGCACCAATGCAATCTGCAGCCATAGGAAAAAAACAAAACAAAGCAATACTCAAGCTCGATTTCTCATGCAGCTTCTCAAGGGAGTTAAAATCAGACTCGAAGTTATTAGCCTCAAGTTACAGCCACTCCACCTCTTAAGGCACAGGTATTTTGTTACCTTCTCCAGTGGTGCATTCTCTGAGCAGGAGTTTGGGTTGCCCTTCCCTGCCTCCTCAGGCAGCAGATCACCCAGACAAGGAGGCAGGATGGGAATTCTCCCCACACAGCCAATGAGTGGTCAGCTACCTGAACAGGCAGGGAAGGGCAGCCTGAGCTCCTGGCCGAGAATCCCCATCCTGCCTCCTTGTCAGAGAGGTCAGCTGCCTGAGGAGGTGGAGAAGGGCAGACTGAGCTGCTTGGACTGGAGAGGGAGGTCCCCGGTGGTGCACAAAGAACAGTGAGTGAGCTAGCCAGCTGGGGTGGGAGATGGTGCTGCATGGCAAGCTTTGTATGAAGCACAACAACGTGCCCATCTCTACCCATAATCCTAGCCCAAGCCGGAAGCTTAGAAAAGTCACAAACACACCTCCAATCAAACATGCAGGGAAGGGGACCACATCCTAATTTTTATCTGCCAAATATAACCACCACCAACCTTAAACTCTTTGGCATACTTCCTATACTCGGCCACGTCACAAATGGCCAGCATGCCACCCATACAGCTGTAGGAATATTGCTGGAGGTGCTCATAAATGAGCCGATGGAAACGGACGCCAAATTCCATCAGGACGCTGTCCACATTCTTGCCATCCATGGAACTCCTGATTTTTTCCACTTGCTTTCGTACATAGGCACAGACTTTGGCACAGGCCTGGAAGGGGAAGTGGCAAAGAAAAGGAGCTTGAAAGCCACGAAATGGCAGGTATTGGACAACATGGGAGTACAACTGATGAAATATCTCTTTTCATTCCTGGGATGTGAAACTTATAGTCATATCAGGTACAAACACCCCAACTGAATTACTGATTTCAGCCTTTACAATAAATAGTAACCCTCCTCCTCCTCACTGTATTATGTTTGCACAAATTGGAAACAACTGAGAAGTGGTTTCCACTTTCCTTCTTCTGGGGGGCGCCCTGGGACTGTACAGCTTGCCTAAGACCACACAGGCTGGCTCTACTCACAGGAAGCATGAGGGAATCAAACTCCCAACCTCTCGCTCCACAGCCAGAGACCTAAACCACCAAGCTAAACTGCTAAATCATGACAGTAAACAATGTGGCTTAGAATACAAGAGGATGAATTTACTGCAACACCCCCGCAAAGAAAAACTGTACGTAGGTCTCGCCTTTGCTTTAAAATTAAAATGATCTCAACAAGTTATGAATGGCTGCAGATGCTGAGCGTTTAGGAACTACCACTGTTCTCCTTTGACTGAAATCACACAAATGGAACTGCATCATAATTCCAAGAACAGTGAATGACAACCTTACCATCAAAGGAGGTGTGTGTATGAGATAAAATATGTACACCATGCAGAGTCCGTGGTGGGCAAAGAAGGGTCGCCAGTGGCAGTCCAATTACCTGCTGTGCCTCTTGCCATTGACTAATCTATATATAGTTACTCACGTTAGTGTACTGAATTAGCACATTGTTCTCATCTTCTGGTTTGAAATCAGTCTTCTTTTGTTCAGCCGCCAAGATGTGCTTCATCTGCCCAATCATGCAATTCAGGGTCCTTCAAAGTTAAAGTACCAGGTGGCAGTTTTAAAGAGAGCATTTCCTTCCCTGCAAAGCCCCAAACCCCTATATTGACACCTTCTAAAGCAACAGCTCACTTGGGGCGCAGTGAGCCTTCCAAAACTGGTGGACCACTGGAGAGTACTTTAAAGGTACAAAAAGACAGTATGTTTTTCAAATGGAAAAGACACAACAAGCTTCATGTCCTAACCACAGCCGTACTGTTTTCATTACGTGCCAGAAATAAACAGCCGATGAAAAAACAGTTGCTTAGTGGTGAACTGAAATAGAAATCTTTATAATCACCTATCAATGCCCATGTCCAGTTTCACCTCCATTTGTTCCGTGATGTCTTTCTTCTTCTGAAGGCATTCGGAGAGCTTAGGGGAAGAGCTGGGACAAATTAAAGAAGAAGACAAGCATGATTGTCATCATCTACCATTGCGCATAATGCACCCAGCAGCAGCCAACACTCTTTGCATGTGGTTAAGCCTTCAAACCTGCAAAGATATGCCGGGTCACCCTTCCTTATACCCTCACCTCTCACAAAAAGAGGCTTCCACACTGCAGGTTCTCCCTTTTCGGTTCAGCTAGGCCATTCCATACCTCTCTGGTATGGAATGGCCTAGCTGAATTGGAAGCGAGAACCTGCTTTTGCATGCCTACGTAGAGGCCACAAGGAGAAAAGCTGTGCATACTTGTCACAACGCAAGAGCCCTGCCATCTAGCTCAGCATCCTGTATCACAAAATCATAGAGCCTCGTGGCGCAGTGGTTAAAACGCTGTACTGCAGCTAAAACTGTGCTCACGACCTGGGGTTCAAATCCCAGGTAGCCGGCTCAAGGTTGACTCAGCCTTCCATCCTTCCGAGGTCGGTAAAATGAGTACCCAGCTTGCTGGGGGGGCAATGTGTAGCCTTTATAATTAAAATTGTAAACCGCCCGGAGAGTGCTTGTAGCGCTATGGGCCGGTATATAAGTCCAATAAATAAATAAATAAATAGAACAACTGAATTGGAAGGGGACTACAAGGCCAATGAGTCCAACCCTCTACTCAAGGCAGGAATCCAAATCAAAGCAGACCTGAAAGAGGGGTGGTTCCATTTTCTCTTGAAGGCCCCTAGCGCTGGAGCGCTCCCCACCTCCCAAGGTCACGAATTCCATTGCTGTATTGCTCTAATGGTTAGGAAGATTTTTTTCTTCTGATATTCAGTCTAAATCTGGCTTCCTGCAGCCTGAGCCATTATTACGAGCCCATTCTTACTGTTTCCTAAGGGAGCAAGGAGACCAGCCTCTTGGTCCTCCATGACTTAGTCTAGTTTCAATCATTGGCACCAGCACCAGACGGTCCTGGAAGAAAACTGAGACTCTCTATTTCAAGACAATACACCATTAAATAAACGAAGGCAGGCGGACAGCCCACGAGTCCAGTGTCCAGCCCTCAAAGTGAATACTGGTAAGTATGTACTAGCTGAAGCTGACTTCGCATTTCAGAGTGCAAAAAAAATGCCACACCTGCGTTATTTCTATGCCTTCTGTTCCCAAGAACTCCCAGGAGTCCTGTTTATTTCTTACCTTTACTAGATTTCTTCACTACTTATCTCTGCACACAGTAACTCAAGGCTCATATGTAAACATAACAATATATCACCGGCCTTCGAGCAGCAAAAATCTGGAGACTAGTATGGCAAGTCTGTACATCGGTGTAGTAGCCAATCTACAAAGGTCAGGGTGGCACATAAACCCATCCCTCTATTTATTTATTTGTGTGTTTTTTTTAAACTGAGGAAGCCCACCTCCACCCCCTAGTGGCCAAAAAAAGTTTATTTCAAAAAGCTGGGGACACAGTTTCAGCACACGCAGACGCTCCCACCCCAAAATATCAATTGTGATCATGTTGAAGGTGCACAAGGATGCTACACCCAGTCCCCTAAGTTTGTATGTCGACCCCCTGTTCACATTTCGGCAGGCAGCCTTCAGGAGAGGCCTGTAACATATATCTTGTCTATACGAAAACTGTTTGACAGAGTATTATGCACCCCTTTTCCTAACCTCAGAAAATTCTATTCTAGAAGGCATTCTAGGGGGAAAATCATTTTTATTTTACTTCCAAAGAGATGTGTTGCTTCTTGGCTCACAGAGACAACAAACCCCCTACCTAACCAGCGGCATCAGATGGTCATTGAACTGCTTGTCAAAAAGATGAAAAATGGTGTTCGCCTGATTCACAACATCGAGGAAGTAAAGATTTGCATTCTTGGCATCTGGAGAAGGAATCCCTGGCAGCAAATAAATGACACAGGTAACAACGTTAGAATGGGGTTAAGAAAATAATTCACCCAAAGAAATCCTAAATAACTATAGCCTAATCTATCAAACTCCCTGGAAAAGACCCTGATGTTGGGAAAGTGTGAAGGCAAGAGGAGAAGGGGATGACAGAGGACGAGATGGTTGGACAGGGTCATCAAAGTGACCAACATGAATTTGACCCAACTCCGGAAGGCAGTGGAAGACAGGGGGGCTGGCATGCTCTGGTCCATGGGGTCACGAAGAGTCGGACACGACTTAATGACTAAACAACAACAACAATCTTTTCATAGATAAGAATGATTTGAAGCTGTACAAAGTAACGTTATTGATTAACTATTATTTTATAGCTTGTGTGTGAAACTAATGCAAATGATTTCAGCAGCACACCTCTTTTAAACACAGACAGACAGACAGAAAGAAAGAAGTCACATTAAGACCTCTTATTCAAAGGACCTGGTAGAATCTCTCTCTCTCTCTCTCTCTCTCCGTTAGAAATAAATGTTATGAACGTTGCCCAGACACAGACCAATTTTTTTTCCCCAAGCCCATTCCAAGAAGTGCTGCCCCTTTTTGCTCTTATCTCGGCACTCATTCTCAAGAAACGGCAACACATTTTAAACATTGAAAAAGTCCTGGAGCATCAAACAGAAATACAAGCAACGTAGCACTTACCGGCTAGTCCGGTTTCCAGAGCATAATCAATGTGTTCAATGCACAAGAACTCCACGAGCAAAGAGAAAATCCTGAAGGCATTCTTTGGTAAATCTGACGGATCTGAAAGCTTAAAAAGAAAGAAAGCCACTTGCTAGTGTTTCTCTAGTACTGGCACACAAAGAATTAATTAATTAATTAATTAAACTTATCTGCCGCCCACACTACCCAAAGGTCTCTGGGTGGCTTAATGCTGCGCAAGTCACTTTGTACGCAGACGGTTTTTCATGGTTTCCAGGCAAGCCAGTGCAACTGAGGGAAGCTAGAGCCACGGGCACACACCATGATTTTGTTCACCTTTCAAGAACCCTAGCCTTAATTTTTGGAAAAGACATTTAAGTCCTTGCAGCAAAGCTTGTACACGTGGAAAATCATCACCACCATCATCTTAGAACTGCACAGCTGGAAGGGGCCCTATGGATCAAGTCCAGCCTTTGTCAAGCAGGACCGAGTGGGGGAATCGAACTCCCAACCTTAAGGTTCCACAGCTGGATACCTAAACCACAGAGCTATCCCGGAGTTCAGGTGAGCTACATGGGATTGTCCATAAAGCCCTCCTCATTGGTCAGGCTGGCTGATGAGAGTCACATCCCCCACCTTTGTGCTAAAGTCTCAAAACACCTGCCCATCCCATGCCACTCCTACCATGTCTCATAAAATCACACCCCTGCCCCGTCTCTCACCCACCTCTCCCCATCCCCAAGTGTGTCCCTCTTTCCAGACTCAGTGCTATTAGCCTTCTCTCCAACAATTTCTCCCAGAGCTGGCAGAAACCAGTTTAAAGACCACAATACTAAAAACCTCAAGCCCAGATTTAATGCATGTCTATAACTATGGAGCCGGAACATAACTGCACCAGAGGACCTGCTTTTTCTTTTTAAAAAAAGGATGTGGTCTTGCCTATCCCATCTGCCTAGATCTGGGTTTGGAAAAGCAGAAGTTTTGGAAAAAATTATTTAATGGATTCCTGTTGTGTTTTTTTTCTACAAACACCAGTTTACAACGTGGCATAGAAGCCAAGAAGATAAAAGTATTGAAGACTGAAAAACAACAAACCAGCGGAATGCAACACATTCTAAGGTATTTTATATGCACAGACACGCTGCATCCTTGGCGCAGTGGTTAAACTGCAGGACTGCAATCAAGACCCTGCTCATAACCTGAGTTCAATCGCGACGGCCTCAGGTAGCTGGCCGAACGTTCACTGAGCCTTCCATTCATCTGAGGTCTGTAAAATGAGTACCCAGTTCACTGGCGGGGGGCGGGGGGGCAAGTTGTTGCTTGCATAAATATGTTGTTAACCACCCAGAGAGTGCTTTAAGCTTTATGGGACAATATATAAGCAGCATACTTTGGTTATGCTCCGGTTCTGGAAAAGCCTTAGAGATACTCTGAGGAATTCTTCCACGCACATACACACCCTGTGGCACCTTTCGAAGGCTTGCTTTGTTTCTTGTAAGAGATTAACAACTACATCCTGGGACAGGAGCGTTTCGCCATGGGTATCGATACTTGGTCCCAATGGGAGATTGGTCCGTTGCCGAATTCTCTCTTTGAGGTCCTGAATGCTAGAAAAAGAGGCGCCGTTTATTTAGAAAAACATCTGTCCAAGCCAAGCATCCCCACAGTTCGTTTTTCAGCCACATACAGAATATTATCAGTACATGTTGCCCAAGAACCTATGTGGTGTAGGGGGGAAATGTTGGACTAAGAATCAGCAGGTGGGGGTTCAAATCCCTGCTAAGCCATGGAAACTTACTGGGTTGGCAATGATAAGACCTTTCCTGGAACATCCTCAAAAAGCCCTATAAGGGTCACCAATAAGCATGATGACAACACATTAAAAACAACATATGACCCACAGCAACTAAATACTTTGAATTATTGATGGGAAACAGTAAATACCGATATTTACCATCAACACCGATCAGCTTAATTGCAATAAAAAAATTGCCCAGCATGTTATCAGACTATAAAATCCAACCACCCCCCTCTAACCCACGTTCCATCCTCATGTTCACAGAACTTATCGAGAGCTCTGCCTTTGTCTGAAAAGAATTATGTAAGAAAGCTGGAAGGGATATGAGAAAAGGAGACCTGTTTAATGCATGTTAAACAGGTTGCCCATTGCTTTCATCCTCCTATGGTCTCTTAAGCCAACCGATTTCACAGATTTTCATACCGGCAAACCCTATTGGGACACAGCTGTGGGTGGCACATAGAATCACCAAGCAATGGTAACTTTGTGGTCCTACTTTTGTGGCTCCACCCTGAAACCGCCAGCCTCAATTTCCCTGCCCTGTCTGTGTTAAGTTAGCATGGGGGAGGGAAGCAGGCTCGGTAGCTACACCCCTATTATGGGAAGCCCTTTCTGCTGGAATACTGTACTGCCGCAGCCTGGCCAACATCCCAGTGGATTATGTAATAAGGTTTTTTTTTTAATTAAAAAATTAGGGTGTACAGCGTGCACGTGGTGTAACCGCTAATTTTGTAACATATAAACCAACCTAACAAAGATCAAGAAATTGCAGAATATATATAAATGCCAAACGGTAGAATGCAGGGGCTGAATAATGAGACACAAGAAATACCGACTGTCGTGGCTGAGTATTCCAGGTAAAATAAAGGGGAAAGTAGGGTATGCAGGAGAAGAACTTGTCTGAAGGACCTGGGAGACTGGTTTAGGCGGGACACAACATCACGTGTCAGGACAGCTACGCTGATGTCCAATCCCTGACGGGAGAGGAACAAGATGATGATGGGAGTGAAGAGACTCATTCTTCTCTTCTCCTCCAGTTATTCAGAAGGGATAATTAAATATACTGTAAATTTCAAAATAGATTAAATGAGGTGCTACAGCGGGAAGGCACGCTCGTACAAATAAAATGACTACACTGAACCACTGCAGTGTTTACAGCTTGGCAACTGGGTGCAAGATAATTTACTGGTCGTTACTGTCAGTACTGCCTGCAAGTTTATACTATGTGTTCGCTAGCACTTTAAGCACAAGATGTACTTGTGGTTTGAGAACACTGGATGCAGCAAAACTGCTGAAATGAAATGGAACTTACCCTCCGCTGCCGATGGCCCTCTTTTGGTGGTTCTTCGAATCATAATAGCGCTGCAAGACCAGCGAGCTCCGGCTTCTCAAATATCCCATTTCCACCTCAATGTAATTCTCCAAGTAGGAAGCGAAGATGGATTTGATAAGCTTAGACAAGAAAGTCTGCTTATCAGTGCCCAAGTTAAACTCCATCAATTTGCTTGAAAGATTAGTCGTCCTTTATGTTAGCAGGACAGGTGGGGGGAGGGGGTTTGAGGGCAGGGAGTGGGAGAGAAGGAAGCAACGTATTTGTAGGAAACGAGACACAGGTACAGAACAAGCACAACGTTCATTTCCTGAGAGTTCCTGGAGGGTTCTGGCTGCACGGGGCCACAAAGCATTTTGAAAGCTAATGCAGGCCCGGTCAATCTCCTGAGATGGCTGCAAAAGCAGGAGAGAAATTTACTACATCCACATTTCCAGTATTTAACTGTGCCTGAGTCTTTTGTATCAGACACAGACAATAGCTTGCAATATTGGCAAGGCTCCCGACACCCTCTTGTGATCAGGCTCTATTTGCAGATTGTGTAGCACAAATTCCATGTACAGGCACTGACCACAGACGGACACATCACAACCATTCTTCATGCTAGTGGCCCCCCTTTGACCTCCCTCTCCAGGGTTCCTTCCCCAAGTGTTGGGTAGGACTGAGCTAAAACTACATACTAAATACATCCATATCAGCATTCTTATCCTGGACCACCAGTAGAGGCTCTTTTTGGTCCATTTCTTCTGCCATGAAAATATTCTGGAAAGAGAGGGTTCCAGCCCTCTACCCTTCCCCACGCCCACCCTCATTTTCCCTTTCCATAGTCTAGCAAAGATCCGCAGGGGTGCATCTGTGCACAGCTGCCTGTGCAAGCACGCAGTACCTGAAACCAACAATAAAAGGAACTCTACAGCTCAAAGAACCAAAGAGGTAGCAAAGGAGGACAGAGAGGCAACCCAATGGAAATAAGCAGAAGGCAGCTTTTCCAGCCCTTACAGTTTAATTTATAAAACATTACAAACCAGCACCAACCTCGTATATAGTTCATAAAGGCTCTGGAGATACTGTTCTGCATCTGACTTCTTGTGGTCTTCTAGCTGGTCTTTTATATAACTCTGTGAAAGGAAGGCCAATATTTCCAGTCATTTATCTCTGCTAGGCAGGGGAAGCATCTTATTTGTGCACAAACACAGTTGATCCAGTGTGGAGGAACTTCTCACCAAAGCCAATCACAGAACTGCATCTTTTCCACATAATCAATGGAATGTCTCCATCTACCCCTCTTGGTCAAAAACAAAACTTTTTCTCCCCTGCACAACTCAAATATCACCTGCTCCAACCTGGTTATCACTCCCCCTTTACTCAACATGCCAAAGGTACCGGGAGAAATGAAAACTCACTTTTTAGACTATCCATTAATCAACAGTGGGAATCAACCTCTCAACCTCTGGCATTGTAGCCAGACATCTAAATGACTGAGCTTTACAGCCAACTTAGAATATCCATTAGCAGTGTTATATCTTTTTTCCTTGTTACAAATAAAGTGCCAACAAATCAGAATGCTGTTCTGAGACAGCTGCTGACATCCTATTGTGGAACTCCATGTGGGCAATAGGGATGACATCAGCACCAGCAGCACATATCCAATGATTTGGGGGTGCACATGACTTCATTGCATTGCGTCTGAGTCGTGTGCACCCTAAAATTGCCTTTAATCAGCTGTGATCTGCCTGCCGTTAATCAGCAGCAGTTTACCACTGCTCATGATGTCACCCCCTCTGCAGGCATGAAGCTGCTCAACAGGATTTCAGCCAGTGAATACAGGTGTACACACAGTGGTTAAACTGCTGCAATGCAGCCAAAACTGTGCTCATGACCTGGGGTTCGGTCCCAGGTAGCAAGCTCAGCCTTCTGTCCGTCTGAGGTCGGTAAATTGAGTACCCAGCTGGCGGGGGGGGGCCAATGTGTAGCCTGCATAATTAACTTGTAAACTGCCCAGAGAGTGCTATAAGCGCTATGGGGCAGTATATAAGCCGCACACTTTGTTTTGCTTTTTTGCTACATACAGAACGTCAAGGCTCTGAACTTAATTCCACACTGCTCCTCTGTCCTTCACCATGTTCTAGGATGCAGGCAGACAAGAAATTCCCAATCCCAGAGTTAAAGCAAACATGCCTTAATTTCAGCTTGGTTTACCATTGCCTAGATGTTCTTTTCATTTTTTAAAATTATTATTCACAGGTTTTTGTTATTTTTATTACTGTTGCTCTTAGCCACCCAGTAGAGTGCTCTGTTACTAGATGGGCAGGACAGAAATGTAATCAATCAGTCAATCAGTCATTCTCATGTGAAAACTTGTGTCTAGCCATAGTTGTCTGTTGTACCTAGACTAAAAAGAGTCTCGTGGCCTGTTTAAGGCCACCGGTTTGTATTTGGCACCCGTTTCCCTGGACACTGTCAAATTTGTGGACTTTGTCAACCCACAGCAAATAAAACTGGTTAGTCTGAAGAGGGCTGCAAAATTCTTTCTTACAAACTCAACTGATTCAATGGATCTAATCTAACTGAGGCTAATGAATGAATTTACCCCACTATGTCTGTGTGAAATATTGCAGAGCTATCCAGTGTAACCATGGACACATAAGGAGCTTGAACTCATGTCTCACAATTATGTTCTCCACAGAGGACTACTAAGGAAGAAGCTGGGCACCAAGTCAGAACAAGATGCTACATATCACACCATAACATGCTCTCATATCTAAAAAGCTTAAGTTTGCAGTAATTGAGGTTTGAACATTTGGTACGATGAACAACGTGCTACACACAAGGAGCAAAAAAAAAAAACCATCTACAATGCATAGAATAAAACAAGAATAAAGACTGAGCCAATGACCTTTTACAAAAGCATGAGTTCTTCTAAATCACCTGAAGTCTGTTTTCGAAGATATTCTGGATAAGTTTGGCCATGACGGTTTCAGGACTGCTAAATATATCTCCAACTTGTTTGTTCACGTTCTGGCAGAGAATAGCGGTTTCTTCAAATATATCGCCCCTCAGGTAGGCACCCTGAATATTGGAAAAGTCATAACAGAGTTTCTGTCATCAAAACATACCTGTAAAAATGATATATTTGCATGTTTTTGTGCATGTCTCTCTGTGTTATATTATATACCTACAGAGATACCTTTAAAACCCAACTCTTACCTCTTGGCACTGTTTTATATACACATCAACGCAGTGGGAATAGCCCTGTGGGAGAGAAAAATGATATCACAATTCAGAAATAATGAATTTGTCAAGTTACACTTTGGGAAGGGCAGTAGGGCAACCCTGCCCCTGGCTCATGTTTTTCCCTCCTCGGTCCCTTGGGAGATCCAGAAGTGGAAGCCAGCAAAGAGAGAGCTCAAATTATAAGCCGCAATGTAGTTCCTGCATCTTTACTCCCCTACAACCGCATATACAGTGGATGTAGATATTTAACAGGGCTATACACTGGATTCAGTGTGTTCTTGGACTCCAAGAAGCCTTCGCCACTACCTGCTCAGGATTTTTGGGAGTTGTAATCCAACAACAACTGGGGACCTAAGGTTGGGAACCAGTGCTTTAAACAAACTGTTTGAAACTTTTCAGGTTTAATTCCCTTTTCAGGGCCCATCGTGTTTCCAAATTTTCTGTGCCACTGTGTAAAAAACACCAAAATGATCTATATTGGTTTTCCAATAAATCTCTTTTTTACAAAGGATCTGAGATTCAGATCAGATGGGATGGAACACAATTCGTCCCAGTTTAAAACTGAAAATCCATTCTATAGCCTCAAGCCCCAAACCAGGGGAACCATCTAAACCCCAGTTCAATCTAACAAACTCAGCAACTTCTCAGAATCATTAGCACTTCAGTACTGATGGGTGTGCCACTATTTATTTACACCAGGCCCCCATTAAAATACAATATTTGGGACTCCAAACTTCTTCACCTAGAAAAAGATACAATTACAATTAAGGGGGGGGGAATCTCTCCCAGTGGTTCACTGCCTTTGTACTTCAAAGACAACCTGAGAGTGAACTGTCAGTCTTTTAGGTACCACTATCCTTTTTTCCTTTTCTTTTGCCTTTGTTACACATACAGGTACACATTTACTAAGAAATACGTCCTACTGTGATTACTAGGTACCAGGGAAGCGAGCAGAGAATTGCACCTGTAAAGAGTGGTTCTCTTACCTTGAAGTGAAGCAAAACGGCAGCTACTTCTCTCATCCTGTTGATCTGACCCCTTCTTTGTGCACTGGTGAACTCCTGGATCAATTGGCACTCTAGATCATGGTACTTACCTAAGTGTAAGGAAGAGGGGGAAGAAGATGTGAGATGTTTATGAAACAAGAACAACCTTTTCAAGTAGATTAAACAGGTTAAGGTTCACACAGATGGGATCTTACTTGCTATTTTGGATTTTACGTCAGAAAACCTGTTGAGAGAGGAAAAAATAGAATTAAAAATTAAAACCCATGCTTTAGCATTTCAAACCTTCAGACAAGAGTTATTTCACACATTACACTCTCTAGATGCTGCAGCTTAAGTTTGCAATGTTAAGTACACACTATCAAAAGATGCAATTGGGTGACTCTTCCCCCACTGACATATACTGTATTTTTTGCACCATAAGACTCACTTTTTTCCCACAAAACAGGGGGGTGGAAAGTCTGTGCATCTTATGGAGCAAAGAAAACAGATTATATTTTCCTGTTTTCTTCTCCTAAAAAATCGGTGCGTCTTATGGAAAGGTGCGTCTTATAGAGCGAAAAATACGGTACTTGATAGCAAACCCAGATTTTTACCATCCCAGTGCATAACATACACAGAAATAGATAGGAAGTGGACCAGTGGCTCCCTAGGGAACAATTAGTTAGTCCTAAGAGACCAAGTTTAAATGATCATGACATCCCTGAAGGTATATCACTAGTGCTAAGCTTCAGGTCTTCATCTGAAGAATTCCACAGACTCTGGTTAACCTTTTTTGCAAGAGGAAATATTGTATGTGACACTGAACGCTCAGGGAGACTGCCAGCAAATGCAAAAGGTAAAATCCCACCGGGTGCAGAATTACCAAGTGAGTTAATTAGTTTAAATTTTCAAGGGGAGGTTGATTTTGTTAGATCATTACAGCAAAACCAACAAAGAATGTCATGCTACCTTAACAACTGACACATTTTATCTGACATAAACCGATGTGAACTGTGATCCACTTCTTCAGATGTTTCTGATGAAGTGGGCTTGCAGTCTGAAGCAGCTTCTGCCAAACAGATAGATTGGCCAGAATCCTACTGGTCTTCACCTTCAGCTCATACATGAATTGTGAATTTTATCTGCTGTGTGACATTACCTGAACAGAAACAACCTCGTTACATTGATCCACTATCAGGGAATCCTCAGCTGGACACTTTCAATACAGTGGTGCCTTGACTTAACGAACTTAATTGGTTCCGGAATGTGGGTGTAAGTCGAAATGGCCATAAGTCGAAGCACCATTTCCCATTGAAATGCACTGAAATGCAATTAATCTGTTCCGGCCAAAGAAAAAAAATCACCAAAAAAAAAATCACTGCAAGACTCATTGGAAAGCGATTAATCCCTTCCAGCCAAAGGGGGTGGGGGAGAGAAAAGCAATCAATGCACAGGATTAATCCCTTCCAGCCAAAGGGGGGGGGGAAGAGAAAAGCAATCAATGCACAGAAGAAATGCACAAAGGGAGCAGTTCAGAAATACACAGAGAACAAAGGGACCAGGTCGGAAATGCACAGAAAACAAACAGAGAAGTTCGGAAATGCAGAGAACAAAGCAGCAGTTCAGAAATGCAAAGAGAGCAAAGGAAAAAGCAAGGGAAGCATGCAAGACCCATTGGAAATGGGGAAAAAAACCCAAAAGCAACCAAATCCCCCAAGACCCATCGGAAATTGGGGGGGGGACAAAAAACAAACAAACCCTCCAAGACCCATCAGAAATGGGGGAAAAAACAATCCAAAAAGCAACCAACCCCCCAAGACCAATCGGAAATGGGGGGGGAAAACAAAAAAAAAAACCAAGACCCATCACAGCACAGAAACATAACCCCCCCCAGCTCAAAACCACACTGCAAAACTGACCCAGAACAGTTTTTAAAAAGCAGAAAACAGCACCTAACCTTACCAGGCAGTCCGAAGCCTTCACCGATCGCACACTCTCTAACTGCTGGGGCAAAAGAGCTACAAAGAAGCAGCCTCGTCGCCACCAACGGTTAACAATTTGAATTTCCTGCCTTTTCCCCCTGCCTGTTGTGTTCGTAAGTGGACGCTCCGGCCGCAAGTGAAAGCAAAATTTTGTGGCCGGAGCTGGTCATAACTCAAAATGGTCGTAAGTAGGGATGTTCATAAGTCGAGGCACCAATGTATTTATGTGAAACTGCCGCTCAAAATGGTCGTAAGTAGGGATGTTCATTAGTCGAGGCACCACTGTATTTCTTATGTGAAACTGATTTTGAAAATGATTTGGAAATTTATGGCAGTCCAACCTAGGAGAGCCAGTTTGTTAACTGGGACTAAATGTTACAATTGCATTTGTGCCAATGTGTCACCATTTTCACTGTCCAAGATCCACCTTTTTGGGCCACCTTCAAGTGACAGATTTAACTCTCACGATACCAAACAGCTTGAAACCAGTGATTTAATCCAACAGGTAGTTCCAAAGAGTACAAGAGATCAAAGGGATTTTCATAAGTGTTGACTCACTACTCATCAACTGGATCAACGGTCTACTGTAATTGCAATTACCAAGTTCTCCCACCCAAATGAAGTGAGGTGGGTTGCTATAGATACAGGGCCTTTTCAGTGATGATGCCACAATTATGGGATCCTGTCTAGAGATGGGCACGAATTTAAAAAATGAATCACCAAATTTGTTCAAAAACTGCTAATTTATTGACTCGTATTCGTATAAATCAATGCCCCTGATGAATATGAATCAGCAAATTTTTAGCGGCTTTTGATTTGTTGGGCTATAAAATGATTCCCCTCCCAACACCTAAAGACACCAAGTTCACAGGGAAGCTTCTCCTCACTCTCCTCTATAATTCCTTCAAGTTTGGTGAAGATTGGGTTTCAGATGTCCAAGTTATACAGCCACAAAGACAGACCCCCCCCCAAGAAAGTTTCCCCCAGGCATTTAGAGACACCAAAACCACAGAGAAGCTTCCCCTGATTCTCTTCTACAATCCTTGCAAGTTTGGCAAAGATCGAGTTTCTCCAAGCCAGCTGCTCAAGGGCACATTCCTGGAGAGACCCACTTTGTGGATGTATAACTCAAATGTCTTGAAATCCAATCTTTACCAAACTTGGAGAGATTGTAGAGGAAGAGGAAGCTTCCCTGCGATTTTGATGTCTCTAGGTGTTTGGGGGGGGGGTTATAGGGTTCTAAAGGCAAAAATGAATCAACAAATTGATTCATTGATTTATCAGGGAAAAATGTAAATTAATTATTTGTGATTCACTGACCTTGATAACTCATGAATCAAAATTAATCATCATTTTTCTGATGCATGCCCATCTCCAATCTTGCCCCCACAGACACCTATTTGGTACTTATGCTGTGATCCTTTCAATACCAAGTGATGACTTTTTTATTCTACTAGGCCTTTCAATCTTTCAGCTTTAGAAATGCGGCTTTAGATCCTCTGACAGCTGTTGTCCTCTGGTAATTGTTCTATCTAGGTTTCGATCAGTGTTCGTTTTAATTTGTTTTAGTTTTAATGAATGTCTTATTAACGCTATGTATCCTTTACATTTCAGAGAGCTTCAGCATCCAGATACCATCAACAATATGTAAATCCAATAAATGAAAGAAAAGCAGGTCAAATTTATTCAAATGTTAAGGGGCTTAGGTAAAACTGCTTCCTACCAGTTGAGTAAGACTGTAGTCATTTGCCCATTTACTGGAAGTAAGCACCACTGAGTATAGTAGGAATAAACAGCATGGGCTTGCACTATCTATCACCCATCCTGCCATATCCTGTATATAAGTGAAAAATGTTATTAAGCAGAGGATAGATTATGATTCCCAAGTAAATGATACTTCCTTTAAGCATAACATTCCTTCCATTAAAAGTGTCACATCCTCAACTCATTCGAAACTTTTTCCCCATCTTTAAAAAACTACTGAATGAGTCCATCGGAATCCAGCCTGAAGAAACAGGAATCACAGACAATTGTCAATTTACACTTCACCTGTCAAAAGGTAATTCCTGTGCTATTAGATGCAACTTCTGGATAATATCAGCTGCCTCTTCAATCTAGAAGGGAAAGATATAAAATCCATTGAAAGAAAAAGCTGTAGACAACTTGCCTCTCAAATTAATCATATTCCCCAGTTTGTTTGTTTGTTTGTTTGTTTGTTTGTTTGTTTGTTTATTGATTGATTGATTTTATTTATTTATTTATTTATTGGACTTATATACCGCCCCATAGCGCTACAAGCACTCTCCGGGCGGTTTACAATTTTAATTATACAGGCTACACATTGCCCCCCCAGCAAGCTGGGTACTCATTTTACCGACCTCGGAAGGATGGAAGGCTGAGTCAACCTTGAGCCGGCTACCTGGGATTTGAACCCCAGGTCGTGAGCACAGTTTTAGCTGCAGTACAGCGTTTTAACCACTGCGCCACGAGGCTCATACTCTTGCTGATACAGTGGTGTCTCGCAAGACAATATTAATTCGTTCTGCGAAAAACGTCGTTTATGAAAACATTGTCTTGCGAAACGCGGTTCCCCATTGGAATGCACTGAAATCTAATTAATGCATTCCAGTGGGAAAAATCGTCTTGCAAAAATCGTCCATAGAAAACATTGTCTTGTGAAATGCAGTTCCCCATTGGAATGCATTGAAATCTATTTAATGCGTTCCAATGGGGAAAAATCATTGTCTTGTGAAAATTGTCCATAGAAAACATTGTATTGCGAAGTGCCACAGCGACCGCAAAAACCAATCATCTTGCAGATTAATCGTCCTGCGAGGCAATCGTCTTGCAAGTCACCACTGTACACACAAACCATATCTGCAACCTTAAAATATTTCTGAGAACTATTTTGATAATAATTCACCCCAGCAGCATGAGTAATTTCCTCTCATACTTCTCAAAACAGGTTTGTAAAGTATTTATTTAAATCTCTGGCTTCCTGTATACTCCCATGTATACAGATTAGACTGATATAACTTTGTGGGAAGTTCATACAAGCTATTTAAATTGAAGGCACCACTGCTTCTTTTTGTCCAGCTGCCTCATTTACTCAAGCACACAGGATCAGCTAAAGGGGAATATAACAGTTCTCTGACCGGTGGAAGTACACTGGAGACCAGTTGTTCCCAGCTTGGATGACCCAGGGGTTCCTGGAGTACAACTCCAATAAACCCCAGCCAACACAGCTGATGGTGAAGGTTTCTGGGAACTGCAGACCAAGAACCCCCGGTTTACCCAAGGTTGAGAACCACTACTGTTCAACTGCTCAGAGGCCACACTGTTCTTTCTTCAAGATGGCCATCTTCCAATTGAATGACAGACACAGTGTAGTTAGATCAATAACTGGAACAAGATGGGAGATGCTCATTTTCAGCACCAAGCACATGAGGAGGAGGAACATCACAAGTTCGAACCCACCATCTTGGATGCTGGGAAAAATTATAAAATCCTAGAAATCTGCTGCTAGTCATTATAAGCTCTCAATTAGAGAGCCTGACATCCATACTCTTTACTAGAGAACGTTTTAGATGGCTCTGGACAAGTCGTTTGTCTTAAGCATCACAGGATTCTTGAGTGATAAAAGAGTGAGGGGGAGAAGGGACTCGGGTACCCTAAAGATCTTGGAAGAAGTGCACAATAAAGGTATAATAAAAACTAGTACATACTGTAGCTCTGTGGATTAAGTATTTGGCTGAGAGCCAGAAGTGGAGACTTTGATTTCCCCACTGGGTCTCTCTTGACAGGGGCTGGACTTGATGCTCTTATAGGGTCCCTTCCAGCTCTGCAGTTCTACGATTATTGTTATTATCATCATTATTAATAAGTACCTGTCTGAAAGCTTAAAGAGGCTTTTAAGATCTATGGAAAGGAGGAAGTGCGCCAAGAAGTTAAAAGTAACCCCTTTCACTCAGAGGCATAGTTTCCAACTGTTCGGAACTTGAAGGAAGAAAATTGTCAGCTATCATCCAAACAAAATTTTAGTAATAAAAGAGATTCCACAAAATTCTACGCTTTGTCGAGCAGGGCGAGACAGCTGAGCCTAACACAGTGAAGGAAATGATCTGTCTCTTCATGACTGCTTGTCATGACAGGCAAGGGTAACTGAGCAGGTTTTATCAGCCAGGCTAGCAAGATCTGCAAAGCTGAGTTAAAAATAGGGGGAAATTACAGTTTCAGAAACTGCTAAGATTAGGAGGCATTCAAAGCCCTTTGAAGTATAAAGTGGCCCCGGAAACAGGATGAGACGTATGGACATTTGCTTGCAGACAAAAACTAGAGGGCATCCATTATGCAGGAAAGGATGAAAATCCTTACCGAACCTCACGAGGAAGGCAAGTCTTGAAAAATAAATGGGATTGGAAAGGGATGTGGGGCAGCTGCTCCCACACCGGCTGCACTCTGGCAGAAACAGCACATCTGCTCTGAGCATAAATACTTCAAATTGGGAAGAGAAGGTACAGACAAAGCTTGTATTCTCCCCATGCTGTTACAGAGGCATAGTGTGAATGGGATTCCGTTAAACCCTGCTGGGATCATTTATGCACTGATGAAACTGGGATCCACAAAAGGGGCATCATCAATATAAAACAATAATAATTGATAATACCAAGAAAAATCAAAGATGACCCCCAACTTATAATACCTCCTGGGAATGGCAGCTATGTTTCACTGAATGACAGCACTTCAAGCGTTTGGAAGAAACGAAATATCTGTGTTCTGGACTACAGATCCCAGAATCCCACAGCCAGCATGGCTACAAAAAGCAAATCATACCCATATCTCTGCTCTTTCAGCAAAAACATCCAGTACTTGCAGAGAGAGTGGCTCTGCTGTGTCTTTTCAATGAGAAGGACAGGTGGAAACAGAGACGAACTGAGCAAATGCCTTCAACACCGTGGCCTCCAAACCCTGCTCACCGGTAGCGTCTCCTGCTCCAGAGCAGAAAAGAGAGTTGGAGGGGAGGGGAGAAGTGCCAGCCTATCCCCACAGGGTCAAGTATTGGCTACACAGCCATCCAGCCATGCCCAGCCTTTCTCCCCCAACGGTCGAGCTGGCAGGGATCCCCACCAAGGGGCTGGCAAGATCTCTGCCCGCTTCGGCAGCTTCAAAGTTGGCCAGCTGGCCGCTCTTCAGAAGGCAGCGCCGTACTCGCCGGGGCAAGAGTCAGCTGGACTTATTTCTAAGCAGACTCACACAGGACTGAAGACAAGGAGTGGAAAACTCTCCTTTTAAAAGACTATAAGAAGGCAGGGACACCCAGATGATAGAGATGACGGGCAGAATCGAATGCTTGCCTTCCATCACTGTACATGCCAGTCATGGAAGGTATACCTTTCCCCTTGTGCCACCCCTCGCCCCATTCAACAGGGGCCCCTTGCTCTCTGCACACGTTCAACCAGGTGCTTCCGGGAGGAGAAGAGGGCAGGCAAGTCCTCTTCTGCTAACCTAGTTGCATGCCATTAAACCTGGAGCCATTCCTATAACATTTTTTTCTCTTGCTCTCCTGGGATCCTGTTCCAGGGCAGAGTTTTAACCTTCATGCAGCACAATGACATTTCTAAAATGCATTCAGTGAATTTTGGTGTGTATTTTTTTCAGCCCACTGGAATTCTAACATCCCAAGGACTACGAGCAGGGGGATTAGGGATGAGTTCGAGGCCGAGACAAACAGACACAGTTATATTTCCTGGATCCACTAGAAATTCCAGCTCATGCCCCTACTTCTCATCATCACTGTTCACAGAAAAAGGGGACGGGACATTCCCTGTCCCAACGTATTACAGTGGCCAGAACAGAAATGTACTCCAGGAGGAAAAGCAAAAGGCAACGAATTTGCTATGACAATTTTTCTCTCAAATATTGTCTGCATTTTTAAAAAAACTGTATGAATTTGATTGAAAAACAGGCACACTGTTTATAACTCTTAGGTGACAACATCCCAGGACACCTACTTTGCAGGTCCAGTTCTATGCAAACTGTATACAAGAGAGAATTTTAGGAAAAATGGAACTGCAAGTGAAATTTGCCATAGGACGTTGCAACATGGCAATACTTTTGTTTACAGAATACAGTAAGACCCTCATATCCATGGGATCAGTATCCACTGATTCACTTAACCACGGTCATTCATGGTCAATGAAACTGGAGCACCTGCAGCAGATTAAACTCTGGCGGATCCATTCCTTGGATCCAGGGCCAATTTTCAGATTGCCTCCAGCAACAGAGCACAGAGAGGGGAGGGATTCTGATAGGAAACAAGTTCCTTTCACCATACAAGCCAGGAATTCATAAATTAAACTTTTAAAACATGTTTGCTATGTGTTTGCTATGCATTTGCTACTATCCACATTTTTTCAGTATCCATGGCGGGGGTGCTTAGAACCGAATCCTTGTGAATACAGGAGTCCTACTGTATTCCATTTCATTTCCCATGGTTTTCTGCATTCCATAGGACCCCAAGCATATAGTGCCCTCTGAAGCCCACTGTAGTACAAGAGTTTTTATTTAGTTATTTTTAATCTTCTGCAAACCTAGAGATTCCCCTGAGCTTAGTGATTCTTCTCACCTTTAATCTAATTGTCCTAGCAGGAGACTGCTTCACCCTGCAGTTAGCTTCCTTTCAATTAATAACTGGCCATTAGAAGGAGGGGAAATCAGGCTTCATTTGCAAGTTCATTGCTCAGACATGGAGCTTTGAAGAAATGACATGCCTGGAGAGCAGATCTGCCATGGCAGGAAATATACATTTCCATGAATGTGTGATTGGACCCTCAGAGGAAAAAGGTTCACTGCCATAATATATAATAGAAAATGGGGAATAATGTTAAAATTGCATTGGACTGCAGGGAGAAGGAGCATGTCATTCAAAGATTACATGTTTCTGACTCCAAAAGCGTCCTGCAAAGTGCCCAGTGTGACCATTGGTCAAGCAGGAGGTATAGAAATTGAATGAATGAATGAATGAATGAATGAATGAATGAATGAATGAATGATGACCAAGAAAAAAATGTTACAGGCATCCCTTGCTGTGTGTGTAACTATGAACAATAATTTAACATTCAAAACTGCATCAGCTTGTGGGACTAGACAAGACTGACGATCATCACCACAGTTAAGTACAGTTGCTTTGCTGTTACGATAATGAATAAGTCTGGAAGTCTAAGTGTTTAGGGGGAAAGGCTTTTAAAAATTAATTAAAAGAGAGCAGGGTTTTTACTTCCTATCCAACCCAAGTATTCACTAAAATAAAAAAAAAAACAGTAAAAGAATTGGTGAAATACCTGGATGTACTACAGAACTACTGTAAGTCTGAGATATTATACTTCTGCTTCACTGACACAACCCTCCTAAACCTGGGTCCCTCCAGATATGTTGGATTACAATTCCCATCATTCTTTACCAGCATGGCAATTATATGGTATGGAGACTATATAAAAGGTGTATTCCAACATATCTGGTTGGCACAACTCAGAGAACAAAACCCAGAAATGCCTGTAAGACCATGGCTTGAAATCTTAAGTTGCTCCTGTCTTCATGTAGGAGATGGAGCTGCTGCTTCTTCTTCTTCTTTAACCAAATGCACTCTTCCCAAAGGACTTCCAACCTCCAGGAAGCAGAATGTCAGGGCAGACAGGAGACTGCAGAAGGAAGTTGGGAACCACAATGGTTGTGCTCAAGAAAAGTCAGGATTCAAGCCTTCACATAAAAGCAGGAAGGAGGAATGAAAGGTCGTAGCAATTTCTCTATATTACTACACAAACTGCTCAGAAAAAAAAGGCACAACCGTGTAGCTAGATTCACAGAGAAACACAACCACCTATGTGGGACGTGTCTTTCCACAACATGTCTCAGTGCACAGAGTAATCTAGTAACATCTTCCCGGAACCTAAAGACTCATCTCAAAAATACTTATCATGACAAAGAGAGATTTATCTATAGGGAAAATACTCCCCCCCCCCAAAAAAAAACTTCCTGTCCTAGTTCTTCTCACTTATGAATGAGTAACTGGGGCGGGAAGTTCAGAAAGAAAAGAAAAGAACACAAGAGATTTCCGAGACCTTCTAAAGAGTTACTTTCTCAGCATTCTTTCCAATCGCTTATGGTTTTGCAAAATGAGAAAGTGACAGCATCCCGGCACTGAGAATGGCTGAATCGGCAGGTAAATGGAAGTTAATCTGCACTCCAGAACAATGGCACTTGGACAAGTCACTCACTGGGGAGCGAGGCTGGAAAAGTTACCCACAAGCGCTGTAATTAGGGCAACTCAGCTTACTGCGCACAAAGCTTTTCAATCCCACTGACGGGTTTTTACCTTTTCAGGGTTGGTGAAAACATCAGATTTCAGCTCTCCGTCCAAAAACTCATTAAAGTACTTCATCAGTTTGTGAGCTTCCACAAGCCGTTGTCGGGGCGTGTTTACTCCCTCCAGCAGGTCACCAAGGTGACAGACTTTGGTGGCCACATAGCTGACGTGCTCATCAAGTTCCTGGAAGTGTTGAAAGGCAACCTAGGAGAAGCAAACAGGCCACAAAGGCATTGTTTGTGTTTACCGTCTTCGAGGAAAGTCAAGCTACTCGCCGACATTCAAAAGAACAAAAAAGTACCAGAGCAAGTGCAAGGAAACACTTAGCACCCAAGCAAACGCGCAAATGTCCACAGACCTCTAAGCAAGCTCATGAAAGAACAGAAGGCCCAAATCACACAAACCAAACTAATTCCACACAAATGCATGGTATCAACTGAATGGCCTGGAAACCAGCAAAAGATCTGGTACAGGTAGTGCCTAACATGTGTATCTACCTAAATGCTCAGGAAGGTTGATTTGAAGAATTTAATGAGATACACAGACTACTTCATAACACTTAGCTAAAGATGAAATATGCATTACATATAAGCAATTATTCTGTCCTCACCGTTGGTCCTTGCAGGTTTCCATTTGTCGTCCCACAGTTACAGGCACATGAATAACTACTACAGCTAGCCATTGATCAGTGGCAGACCTACATTTGGGGGGACCTAAAGCTTGAACTGTTCTGGGGGCCCCTTTGTAACTGGCAATGGACACCGTACTTTGACGAGGATGCCAACAAACTGGAGCAAGTCCAGAGAGCAACAAGGATGATCAGGTGACTGGAAACCAAGCCCTAGGAGGAAAGACTGAAGGAACTGAGCATGTTTAGTCTCACAAAAGGGGCCTATAAGGCCATCGACTCCAAACTCTTGCCTAAGGCAGGAATCCGAATCAAAGCAGATCAGACTGAGGGTTGCCCAATGCTGAATGTCTCCAGTGTTTGAACACTCATCACCTTCCAAAGTAATTGGTTCCATTGTTGCATTGCCCTAATAGTTAAGAAGTTTTTTTTCCTAATATTCAGCCTAAATCTGGCTTGAGCCCATTATTACAAATCTTGCACTCTGGGATAACCAAGAACAGATCCTGTCCCTGCTCTGTATGACTGCCTTTCAAGGATTTGAAAAGCACTATCCTATCACGCCTCAGTCTTCTTTTCTCAAGGCTAAACATGCTCAGTTCTAGACCAGGTCTATCTGCATGAGAGCAATTTATGGAAGAGTTTACTCACAAAATCTGCACTGACTGAATGTGACTACTCTAGCGTGATGTACTATGCCAAGCAACAGGATTTCAGTCATTATCTTGCTGTCCTTCCCTTGACACACTTCAGCTTCCTAACATGCTTCTCAAACTGTAGCGCCCAAAACTGCACATAGTATTTAATGTGAGGTCTGACCATAACAAAATAGAGTGGTACTATTAGTCCTTTGTCATCTAAACACTACGCTTCTGGCGATGCTGTTTAGAAGTGCACCACCTTTTCTCTGTTTTATCACATCTCTAATTCACTTTTAGCTTGTGGTCTAATATATATTAAAACATTCAGGGGATCGGAAAGCACTAGGAATGGACGTCAACAGATGGGAAGCCTTGACCTCCGAGCGTTCAGTCTGGAGGCAGGCGGTGCATCATGGCCTCTCCCAATTTGAAGAGACCCTTGTCCAGCAGGCCGAGGCAAAGAGGCCGTCTGGAAACCAGCAAAATCAGGGAGCTGGACAGGGGACAGATTATATTTGTCTTCAGAGTGGAAGGAACTGTCATTCTCAAAGTGGCCTTCTCAGCCACACTAGACACGTCTCCAGGTCCTCCATACAGAGCATGTCACCATAGTCTCTCAAGACTAAAGGATGCCTAATCTAATTCAGAGGACCAAAAACCAGTCTCAATGGATCTAGTGTATGAGGTCAAGGCACTGTGTGTCAGGAGATTCTCTTGTACAAAATCAAACTGTACAAAATTGTACTGCTGGACAGCTCAGTGGTTTTGGTCTCTGGATGGGGAGCCAGAGGTTGGGAGTTCAATTCCCCACTGTGCCTCCTTGGCTGGACTCAATGATCCATAGGGTCCCTTCCAGCTCTGCACTTCTAAATGACAGCAGCACAAGAATATGAATCACATCTCCATCACCCACCTGGTTGCTCTTCTGCAACTCTTGAACTTTCTTGGCAAATTCCTTGGCTTCTCTCTGGACTTGCTGTTCTAATCTTTCCACCCTTCTCTGGATGCGTTCATCCAATAACTTTAGTTCATTGATATGATTCACAAATTCTTCTTTTAATCTGATGTTGTTTTTCCCCAAAAAGAAGAAGTTTGATGAGGCAGATTTTAGCATGTAAAAGTTTATGCTATGACAACAAAATGTAATAAAATATCATATAATAAAAATTGTTTGAGGATTATTATGTTACTACAGTGCTGAAGATAGGTATACCCAATGACATATGCAAGACTAGTGAGATTAAAAACACACCCACTCTTCCTTCTATATCATTTTACCACTGTTATTCTAACACCATGTCCATCTTACTCTCCTACTCTATATCCCCAAAATGTCCATTCATAGTCTAACATAATCCTTAGAAAACCCTCAGAGGACTTTCACAACATAAATTAGCCTAATTTCTGCAATATGGAGTGAGGAGATCTGCCCCATAAAATGTAGACTTAATAGCACAAACCACTGAGTCTCGGAAATATACAGTGTGGAAAGCAAGTCTTAGTCATATCTCTTGAACTGAGCAAGGGTATCAACATACATTCCATGTTTACCAGTTATATTCCAGAGAAATCCCAATGTGAGCAGAGAAGCATGTAGAGCTTACATACAAGACCCCAAGTTCTAGCCCTTGTTCAAAACTCTCAGATGGACTAGGAAAAATCTCTGCCCAGACGAAGTTGGAACATGATTTAAGACCTTTCCTTCCAATCAAAAAGCCACACTGCCAACCTTGTGAATGAGAAACCCAGGTGAAATTCAATCTGCCTGTTAAAACCCATGCAAAGATGTCTGTGAAATATTTAATGTTACTAAAACTTGCTCTAACCACATACACACTCAGCAATTGCACCATAATGATATATACTCCAAACTTGCAATAATTGGTACTGGAGGTAAGAAAAGCCAGTGAGGAGATTCCTCCTCATATCAAGCTGAATCTTATTTTAGGCTATAGTGAATTAAGCATTGGACTAAGACTCGGGAAACCTGGGTTCAAATCCCTGCTTGGCCATGGAAAACTCATGGCAAGCCATTCCTTGATTATCTTGCACACCTCAAAAACCATCTTATGGTCAAAGTACATCAGAAGTGACTGGGTGGCAGATAACAACTGGAGCTCCACACCAGATTCATTTACAATGCTTCTAACAGTGCTTATAAAAAACAAAAATGGCCATGAACATAAGGCATATTTCTTCTCCAGTCTGGGCCATCAGGAAAAAAAATACTTCTCTCCCTTTTCTCCCAGCAACACACTGCTTTCTGTGTTATAAATTCCTACCCCTTCCTGCCCACTCCTTACTTTGTCATTCAGAAAACTAGCTAAGGAACCTGGATGGTGGCGAGAGGCAGAGCTAACAAAAATCCAACAGCTTTCTCAGCAGGGATGCTTAAAGTAAATGTGTGCTGTGAAGCCGATTCCGACTGACTACGGCCCTTCTCAGAGTTTTCAAGGTATCCAGTACTCAGGTGTTGCTTTGCCACTGCCTTGCCTTGCCTGGGGGTGCTAACTATGTAGCTGACCCAAGGCCACATAGGCTGGCTCTTCTTCTGAGAGACAGAATGGGAAATCCAATTCCCCACCCCTAGTGCTGCAAGATAAGGAGCTAGCCAGCTTACTGGTATTTACTTGGCTTTACACAAAGTCCGTTCTTTGTTCAAGAGTGCTTTTAAAAAAGGAACCCACAGTACTCTTAAATGATGCTGCTGACTGCTGACTCTTACCTTTTAGGATCAAAAGCTTCCATGCCACCTCGGGAACCTCCGCCGGGAGTCCTCCATGCGAGGCGTTCAATGTACTCGTCAGCCACAAAGGGTTCCTAACCACGTAAGAAAAAGAGATGACGTAAGAAAGGCCACCAAGCCACAGCAGAAAATATATGATACATATTGTTTGCAGCTCACCGAGAACACCATTAAAAGCTTTTTCTGCAGCGAACGCTTTGCAAAGCATAGAGAAAAGGGCAAATAGTTCTTTTCACATTTGTGCCCCTAATCTTAAAATGAGGTATTCTGAAAACAGGGAACATCTCATTCATGGTGTGCAAAACTGGTCTGCATAAGCTGTGGTTTCCAGCCTCCCACATTCCAGGATCGGTTATTTGCTTCAAAGCTCTATCAAGGTCTAGGCCCAGCACATTCAGAGTTGTGTGTTCTCTCTACAAAACACGAATACTCCGCATGTAGGATTCTTCCCATCCAGTAACTGGAAGGGAGACTGGATTAGACAAGGAGAGATGCAAGTAATTCCTTTATCTAAGCTCATTTGACTACACTGACATTTTTCCAGGTACTGGTCTTCTTCATTTTTGTCGTGCTGCTCCTTCTGCACAAAGAAGCCAGAGTGATACAAGCACAGAAATACCCAGGTTTATTCTCAACCTTTAGGATCTTGGCTCTCTGCAAAATTTCAGCTCTGCTGCTACTCAGATACAACTAAGCTAGACAGATGGCCCTTCTCATTGCAAGGCAGTTCCTATGTTCCACATATCCATTCACCAAGTGATTTTATTCCAAATCTACAAGAACAAACTTGCTAGCGCAGAACAACATCCACTGTTTCTAACAGCAGGTCGCTAGATACTTGTAGGAATTTCACAAGTGGACCACTCAGCATGTGCCTTTCCAAAGCTTATGCCAGCGGTGAGCTTAAGGAATTTGTTGTTATTCGTTCATAAATCCCAAATCCTGAACACTTCTATAAGCTACATAATTTGTAGGGATGGCAAGGCCTGAGGGAAAGACTCCATGCTTTCCATTTTGCACCAGGCACACTGCCACCATGATAGAAAACCTAGAAGCATTGTATTGTTATAAAATCCAATCAAGTGAATTAGCCTGGTGAATTTTATATGATGATGATGATGATGATGATGATGATGATGATGATGATGATGTGTGCCACGGATAATTCAGTGGTTTAGGCATCTGGGTCCAGACTCAGAGGTTAGGAGTTCAATGCTCCACCATGTTTCACTGACATGGGCTAGACTCAACAACCCATAGAGCCCCTTCCAGCTATGTAGTTCTAAGCGTTGTAGTCAAGTCAATATTGACCTATGGTGATTCTCTTCAGGGTTTTCTAAATAGAGAGTATACAGAAGTTATTTATCATTTCCTTTCTTCTGGGGGAGCTCTGCAACCACCATCAAGCTATCACACAGGATGACTCTTCTGAGATGCCCGAGGAGGAACTAGATTCCCAACCTCTGGCTCTACAGCCAAATATCTGACTCACCGAGATGTAAAACAGAACTAATTTTAATGTTTGAATTTTAAAAAACTACAAAAAACATTCCAGTGCAGACCTTTTAAACAAGCCAAGAAAAACATATACTAGAGAAATGCTACTGTTTCTTCTACCTAACATAAACATCTACAGTAGTCTACTTGCAAGAAATGCAATATTTTCAAAAAGGCAGATGAAAGTCATGAGGCACCAACCGTCTTTTTCTGTTTCACCAAGCATGACAGGCAAGAGGTGCTGTTTACCAGTGACAAAGCACACTTTGCTTTACAACTGATATTCGGTCTTGAAGTACACCAGCGCTCCCCAACTTTTTTGGGGCCATGGACTGGCTCGGGGGGAGTGAGCTCCATGCGTGGGGGGGGGCTGCCCCGTGCTCACTCGGTGGCCATGTTACGCTTGCACACCTAGTGAGCTCCATGCGTGGGGGGGCGGGGGCTGCCCCGTGCTCACTCAGTGGCCGTGCTACGCTTGCACACCCGCATGCGTGCACGAGGGTGGAGATCCGTATCCGTATCCGTATCCCATTTCTGGCAAGCCCACAAACTGGCATCAGACTGGGGGTTGACGACTGCTGAAGTACCCCACCTGGCTAAGCGCATGAGTTCTTTTTCCTAATGACACAACATCTAGCAGCACTGTAAGCTTGCTCTGTTCACACACCAACCAACTTTTAGTCATTGATTTGACTTATCCAAAACTTGGACAAGTTAAAAAAAACTTTGGCTTTTGAGGGGTCTGGGTAATGCAATTATCACATAAAGCAAATCAGAAATATCAAAATAAAGTTAGCTAGCTACAGGTGGCTCAAACAAAAGTTTAAATCTTGAATTCAAAACCCCATAGGATCATACAATAATGGAGTTGAAAAGGGACTATGAAGCCATCGAGTTCAACCCTCTGCTTAGAATATCTTCAGCGCTGGAGTGCTCACCACTTCCTGAGGTCACTGGTTCCATTGCTATACTGCCCTCTTAAGACGTTTTTCCTGATAGCTTGAGCCCATTATTACGTGTCCCGCACTCTGAGATGATTGAGAACAGATCCACAAAAATCATCTTGATAGCCACAACATATATCACTGTGAAAAAAAACCTTTCCTGCTCTTTTTTTAACCTTAGGTCATCTTAGGTTAAAAAAAATTCTCCCCCTAGTGGTAGAGTACGTATTAACCAGCTTTGCATTAGTTCCTATGGGAACTAATGCTTCAATGTACGAACGCACCTCTACATAACAAAAAAACAGCCAGAACGGATTAATTGGTTTTCAGTCCATTCCTATGGGAAATTTTGCTTCAACTTAAGAACGTTTCAACTTAAGAACACCATTCCAAAATGGATTAAGTTCTTAAGTAGAGGTTCCACTGTAGTTTCTATGGACGGAAAAGAGCAGATACGGATTAAATGGTTTTCAATGCATTCCTATGGGAAATGCAGATTCAACATAAGAACTTTTCAACTTGAGAACCACCTTCCAATACGGATTAAGTTCTTAAGTAGAGACCCCACTGTACTGCCCTCTTAAGAAGTTTTTCCTGATAGCTTGAGCACATTATTATGTGTCCTGCACTCTGGGATGATTGAGAACAGATCCACAACAATCATCTTGACAGCCACAACATACGGTATATCACTGCTACTTTGAAGAATTCTATCATAATGAACCAATCACTGATTGGTTCAAAATTGGGAAAGGAGTACGACAAGGCTGTATATTGTCTCCCTGCTTATTTAACTTATATGCAGAATACAACATGCGAAAGGCTGGACTGGAGGAATCCCAAACCGAAATTAAGATTGCCAGAAGAAATATCAACAACCTCAGATAAGAAGACTCCCTGGAAAAGACCCTGATGTTGGGAAAGTGTGAAGGCAAGAGGAGAAGGGGATGACAGAGGACGAGATGGTTGGACAGGTCACTGAAGCCACCAACATGAATTTGACTCAACTCCGGGAGGCTGTGGAAGACAGGAGGACCTGGCGTGCTCTGGTCCATGGGGTCACAAAGAGTTGGACATGACTTAACGACTAAACAACAGCAACAATCATAATGAAAACTAGTATGCACTTACACAACACCTTTATCTACCAACCTATCAGGCACTTGTTAGACTTCCAACTGGTTTTACCAGTGCGGGGCAGGGGAGTAGAAAAAGTGCAGAATATGATGCAATATAATACTGCCAAGGATACCAGTGTGATCATGACACACAGCACTACATCCCTAAGAGGTGCAGTGACGGATGTGCCGAGCCACTGTTTGGCTTTAATACAGTGGTCCCCAACCTTGGGCCTCCAGTGGTTCTTGGACTTCAACTCCCAGAAATCCTGGCCAGCAGAGGTGGTAGTGAAGGCTTCTGGGAGTTGTAGTCCAAGAACATCTGGAGGCCCAAGGTTGGGGACCACTGCTTTAATAGACTCAGTGAGGGCCTATACATGCTGTAAGGCAGGATGGTTTCTCTGTCCAGATGGGGAAAGTAGAGCTATATTAGGATCACCCTTCAAGTTCACATCCCTTTGAAGGACCAGTTTTTTAGTTTGTGGATACTCTAGGGCCGGCCATGATTCAGTCTGGTGGCTTGTGTGCCATTGAGGGCCTTCTTCCAATTTTGGCTGTTTGCCCAGCTGCAACTCTAGCTGGGTGGGAACAGTTTGGCATCACTAGGCTGGATATTAATGATGCCCCAAATGTTATGGACCACTTTTAGTTTGTTCATTTTACATTGTGAACAGGCTGGAGAAGTCTGTTGATGCTTTGAGGATGTACTGTACTCTTAGCACTGTACTAGTTCTAGCTTAAGCTTTTATGGAATATACTTTTTATTTACTGTGGCTTATGTGAATTACAATTTATCTAAAATTTGTCTTTCTTGTTATATTAATTATGAATTTCTGCATTTGTGTTGTGCATCTTCTGTAAATTACTTCATGATGACTTTTTCTGGTAGGGCACAAAACATAAACTGAATAAATATTATTATTACAGTACAGGTACAGTATTTAGTTAAAACAACAACTTGAAGCAAGATGCTTTAACCTAAGTGGCATGTATGCCACATTTTGTCTTTAACGAATTCATTATAATGCCAATGTTCACTAGTTCACTATGATGTGCCGTTGCACATCAACTATGACACAGACAGGTCATTATTATTTGTGCTGTCTGTAACATAAACTGAATAAATATTATTATTACAGTACAGGTATTTAGTTAAAACAACAACTTCAAGCAAGATGCTTTAACCTAAAGGGCATGTATGCCACATTTTGTCTTTAACGAATTCATTATAATGCCAATGTTCACTAGTTCACTATGATGTGCCGTTGCACATCAACTATGACACAGACAGGTCATTATTATTTGTGCTGTCTGTCATGACCTCTAAAGCAGACTTTGACTATGCATTGCCTCTGGGATTGATTTTGAAGTCTTGCATGAAATTTCCATTAACACAAATACTCTGCTATGTCAGTCACATACGGAAGCTTCCTTACACAGAGTCAGACCTATCTAGACCAGTAATATCAATGGCTCAGCAGCAGCAGCTTTCTAGATTTCAGGAAGATGTTTTCTCCAAACCTTACATGTAGATATCTAAGACTAAACCTGGAACTTCCATATGCAAAGCAAACAGTCCCTGTAGCTTCAGGAAATATATCTTGCCAGTACTTAAAATGGGAATACACTTGTTACTGACGTCACTCAAAACCTGGAAACATCAACAACTTGAGAGCTGACTATCTGAAAGACTGACTCTTATGGTTTCAATTTTTTATTCTTTGTCCAAGCCTTCCTGCAACAGGTGCAAATTCTGAAAATCAAACCCTGTCTCTTCTCCAAATGAACTCCTGTCTGAAATACAATACAGTAATATCAACTGTGTGTCCGGATGGCAATTTTTAGAGTATATAATTTATTTGTAGTTTAATTGTTTTATCTTTTTTATTGTATTTTAATTGTTGTAAGCTGCACAGAGACCTTTGGGTAATGTGGGCGGCATATAAGTTAAATAAATAAATAATAAAGGCCCAGCAGCCCTGCCAGGCAAAAAAGGTGTCAACCTTCAATGAGCACTTAATAAAAACCAGCATGTTAGGTGCTTAAACAGTTTAAGGCTAAAATAAACATGACTCTCCAAACCAGAGTTCAGCAACTCTGACTAGTCTGAAAGCCTCACAATATCCAAGCTAGGAAGTAATAATGGAGGTGAGGGTTGGAATAGGCTGAGGATATTTATTCATCTATTAAACTTTTAAGACACTTTTCCCTATAAAATCAGGGACAGCGGTATATAAATAATGTATACAGCATATATTTTGGGAACAGCAGTTTATTTCCCCATCTATCTAAACACAATCCAAACAAGCAAATACCTCCTCCAGCGTGGTGAAGGCTTCTGGGAGTTGTATTCCAAGAACATCTGGAGGCCAAAGGTTGGGGACCACTGGTATACAGCATATATTTTGGGAACAGCAGCACTTTCAGTTCCGGAACACTTGTCATTAATATAAAATCAGGGACAGCGGTATATAAATACTGTATACAGCATATATTTTGGGAACAGCAGTTTATTTCCCCATCTATCTAAACACAATCCAAACAAGCAAATACCTCCTCCAGCCTGCGTGCACCCCAAAAATCTCCTGCCATTCTAATGCCACCTCCATACTCCCATCCATTTACCATCTCTTCTGCCAGTTTATCAGGGCTCCCAACTTTTGCTGTTCTTATCATTAAGTTTTGGCAAATCACCCCAAGGGCTTCAACAAGCACATAATGCAGCAGGCAGTATTTCTTCTCCTCACTCCTCTATCTCCATGTCAGAAAGGGGTGTGTGTGTGAAAGGTACCAATCCCACAATCCTCCCCAAGATCCCAATAACAATATATACAGTACCGTATTCCTATTATCAAGATACAATGGCTCTTCTCTCTGCAAACAAAGATCCCATATTTCCAACTCCATTTTTACAGTACTCTCTTTAACATTTATCACCCCAGAAATGACACCTCGGCTTTCCATAGCTGGCCTGACATATTTTCACCTCTAACATCCCCAACCTATGTCACCATTGTTCATAGATATAGAAAAGTGAAGTTGGAAGGGGCCTACAAGGCCATCAAGTCCAACACCCTGTTCAATGCAGGAATACAATCAAAGCATATCTGCTAGGGGATGATGTAAGTTTTTCTTGAATGCCTCAGCAACTCATGGGTTCCCAATGATTTTTCTTTCCTCCAGTTGCATAGTGGCTAGGATCCTATTACTAGTCTCAAATAGACCTGCTGAGACTTACCAACATATGAACTTCCCATTCAACAACCCATTCGGTGGGTCTAACTGGGACTAGCAACAAGATATTAGTGGGTGCCTGGGTTTCTTAACCATTTGGGGGCCATGGACCCCTCTGAGAATCTGATGAACACTATGAGGCCCTGCTCCCCTGGAAAACGCAGACAGAATTCAGCTTGCAATTTACAGTATTTGAGCCAAAAAGGAAGAAATCTGGTTTGCACAGGGAGGCAGACTGAATGTTGCTTGCAATGTCTGGGATGCAAAAAAAGCAATAAAAACCGATTCGCCCAGGGAACCCAGCCCAAATTTTGCTTGCAACGTCTGGGATGCAAAAAAGAAATAAAAACCAGTTTGTCCAGGAACACAGCCCGAATTTTGCTTGCAATTTATCTGATACAAAAATAAATACAATAAAAACCGGTTTGCACCTCCCTCACCCACCCAAAGCTCATCCACGGACATACACACAAATACACACAGATGATGAATTCCTACTATAATAGAGAGCCCCCTCCCCAAAAAAACGGGGCCTAGACCCAAAACAGAGAGAGCCCCCTTATTCCTCCCCATTCCACGGCACGCACACCCCACCCTCATCACCTTTGGGCCCCTTGTGGGTAGAAATGCGGCATAGAAATAAAATTCATAATAACAGAATAATAATAACCTTCCATTTAGCAGGCACACCCCCTTCCCCAGCAAGGACATCTCACCCCCCCCAGAGAACGGGTGTGTGTGTGTGTGTGTGTGTGTGTGTGTGTGTGGGTGTGTGAGAGAGAGAGAGAGAGAGAGAGAGAGAGAGTGAGTGAGTGCTCAGCACACGACCCTCCATCCTTCAGGGGCCCCCCAGTTTCCCCCACCCCATTACTGAGAGGCTCCATGAGACCCCGGGGTGACCCCACCCCACATTCCGAAGGGCAGAGTGGGGTGCCCCCCCACGCCATGAGGAAAAAAACGAGGGGGGAGGAGAGCCCTTGGACTCCC